TCCATTCCTAGAATTATTTCCAAGTCCTTCAAAGGTAAACAGATTAATTTCACCTTATAACTATGCCCTTCAACCATAATAGGACATCTAATGCATACGGTAGATGTCCTAATCTCTCCAGCCGCTGGTGTTGATACCACCAATTCTAACTGCATTTCTCTCTCCACTATTCCCAGTTTTTCAACACACGCCTTCGAGATGAAGGAGTGCGTCGCCCCATAATCAAACAACACACAGCAAGGCGTTCCATAAACAAAGCAGGTACTGGTGATGAGTGTACCTGAGCTTGCTGCCTCAGCGCTCGTTATAGCATATACACGTCCCACTGCTTGGGCTCGACCACCTCTTGGTTGGTTCCTTCCAGTATTTGGTGGCCTCATCACTGCTCGCACACCCATGTTGCACTCGTTCTCCAAGTGCCCATTCCTCCCACATCTGTTGCAGTGTTTTCCTCCCACCAGTTGAGGGCAGAACGAACGATAATGCGGCCCTCCACACTTATAACATGTAACGTTACCTTGCTGCCCAGACTGTCCGGCAGGAACCAAGGCTTGAGATCCACTTGTGTTGGTTGACGGACGAACGTAAGGAGATCCCCTCTGATTGACATTACTCCTTGACACAATCGGTCCCCTTACCGTTTGTTGTTTCTTGTGGCGTTCAGCTTCCGCCATGTTCTTCTCCAACACCTTGGCCCTCTCAACCATGGCAGGAAACGTTCGTATGCATAAACTTGAAATCATAACTTTCAAATCACTCCTCAGGCCGTTCTCAAACTTCCGACATTGCCACTCTTCACTGGTGGCCATAGTATTGAATCTGACAAGGTGCTTAAATTTGTTGGTGTATTCTGAAACCGACATACCCCCTTGAACCAGCTGTAAGAACTCAACCTCCTTTGCAAATCGGACGCTGTCAGGGAAGTACTCTTCATAGAATTTGTTTCTGAAAACTTCCCAAGTAATCTGCTGTTGAGCGTCCGTTAGAATGGCTCTGGCGCTCGCCCACCAGTGGCTTGCTTCTCCAGTTAACAAGTACTCTGTATACGCCAAGCGATTCTCATCCGGACATCTCTTGGCGTTGAAAATTCTCTCCATATCCCTCAGCCACTGGTCAGCTTCGTCCGGAAGACACTTTCCACTAAATTTGGCAGGGTGATGCTGAAGGAAACTCTCCAAACTCCATTCAGCATTTGGTTGGGCAACGTTAGAAGAGGATGCTCCAGACGCACCTCTGGTGGCAGCAAGAATCTCCATCAATTGTCTTTGCGTGTTTTCAGAATTGACACG